ACTGTGTGTGGTACCAACCCTAGGTATGTTGAGTCTGGGTTGTATAAGAAACATAGCTAAAAAAGATTTTTAAAAAATGGGGGGCGGGGGTTGCTGAACATGAGCCTAGAGCAAGCCAGTAAAACATTGGTCCTCCATGGCCTCTACTTCAGTTCCGGTCTCCAGGTTCCTACTCCAGCTTCCCTCGATGATGAACTGTAGCCTGTAAACCAAACTAACCGTTTCCTCTCACAAGTTTTTTTTGGTCCATGTTTTGTCAAGCAAACTAGGTCAGCCACAAGAGCAAGAGGTTGAGGGCTGACTTGTGAGTTGTTCATAGGCGAGTATCCGCCCACCCTCATCTGGGAGAGACGTAGGTCCCAGCCCCACGGTTTCCCTGATAGGGGACAACAGACTTCCTTCTTCCTCTAGCTTCCTGAAGAGAGGTGGCACTCATGGAAGTGTGTCTCATTGGAGGCTCCTGGGAGGTAGCAGCAAGTGGTGGGCAGTGCCGGGAGTGTGGGGGATCTGGTGAGGAGAATGTTAGGGCCTGCACACTGTGGCCCGTGGGCCACATTCCATCTTTTGGCAAAGAATGGTTTTTATATTTTTTTCAATGGTTGTAAAGGAAAAATTAAGACACTATTTTCCTTGATAAATGGGAATCACTCTCTTTTCTCTCTTCTTCTTTCTCTCTCTCTCTCCCCCTCTCTCTCTTTCTCTGTCTGTCTGTCTGTCTGTCTGTCTGTCTGTCTCTCTCTCTCTCTCTCTCTCTGTGTCTCACTCAGCTGTAGAGCTGTGTCTAAAATGTTTGCTAGTGAGGCCTTAGAGAGAGTCCAACAAGTCCTGGATGGACATTAAAAGATTCTGCAACGTAAGTAGGTCTGGGTTCTTCCCATAGTTTCCCTCAGTTCAGGACTCTCAGCACAGACACCTGCAGATGCAAGACATTTAAAGACTAGCTGTCTGTCACCCACCTGAGGGTCCAGTGTGATCAGACAGCTTACACTCTACCATCTGATCAGACAGCTTACACTCAGGGATGTGCAGGGACACGCATTTCTCCTAAGGCTCTCCTTATGTATTTTTAAGGCGCAATGTCTTCTCCGATTGCCACAGGAGTCATGGTGAAACGGAAACTGGGAGAAGAAGGCGTGATCCATTCCTGGGCGGCTAGCTAGTCACCCATGACTCCCAGGAGGCTAGGACACTCCACTTAAGACTCCCCTAGCCCGTTTGCCCACGTTCTGCCACACCAAAAACACAGACGAGAGCAATTTCAGACAGGTTTCTGGCAGCTCGTGTCTGGGCATACAGTCTGCCACAGCTGAAGAGGCGGCGGAAGGAAGAGCTTGAGGCAGCTGCTCATGTTGGATCTGCAGCAAGGAAGCAGAGAGACATACTAGTGTTCGCTTTTTATCCAGTGCATGACTCCGGCTCCTGTCAGCGGTCATGGTGGGTCTGGAAATGCCTTTGCAGAAACAGCCAGGGCTCTTATCTCCTAGGTCTTCTGAGTTATTTCAGAGTCACAGTCAATATTTACCCATACTAACCCATCTCTTGTCAACCTGAGACACAGACATGCCACCTTTATTTTTTATTTATTTACTTATTTTTTTTGGTTTTTCTGTTTGTTTGTTTTTGTTTTGTTTTGTTTAAGACAGCCTCTGTATTGATTTGGAGGCTGTCCTGGAACTCTCTCCGAAGACCAGGGTGGCCTTGAACTCACAGAGATCTGCCTGCCTCTGCCTTCCGAATGCTGGGATTAAAGGCATGCCCCACCAATGCCCAGCCAGGATGGCTTCTTCTAGTTCCATCCATTTGCCTGCAAATTTCAAGATTCCACTGTTTTTGTTTTTCCATGGAGTAGTACTCCATTGAGTAAATGTACCTCATTTTCTGTATCCATTCTTTGGAAGAGGGACATCTAGGTTGCTTCCATGTTCTGGCTATTACAAATAATGCTGATATGAACAAAGTTGAACAGACATCCTTATTGTATGAATGTGCATCCTTTGGGCATATGCCTAAGAGTAGAATTGCTGGATCTTGAGGTAGACTGGTTCCCATTTTCTGGAGAAACTGCTATACTGTTTTCCAAAGTGGCTGTACAAGTTTGCACTCTCACTAGTAATGGAGAAGTATTCCCCGTTCTCCACATCCTTTCCAGCATGAACTGTGTTTTTGATTTTAGCCATTCTAATGGATGTAAGATGGCATCTCAGAGTTGTTTTGATTTGCATTTCACTGATGGCTAAGGATGTTGAGGGATTTCTTAAGTGTCTTTCAACCATTTTAGATTCCTCTATTGAGAATTCTCTGTTTAGTTCTGTACCCCACTTTTTAATTAAATTATTTGTTGTTTTGGTGGCTAGCTTCTTGAGTTCTTTGTATATTTTGAAGATCAGCCCTCTCTCTGATGTGGGGTTGGTGAATATCTTTTCCCATTCTGTGGGCTGCTGTTTAGTCTTTTTGACTATATGTCTTTTGCCTTACAGAACTTTCTCAGTTTCAGGAGGTTCCATTTATTAATTATCAATCTCAGTGTCTATGCTGCTGGCATTATGTTCAGAAAGTAATCTCCTGTGCCAATTTATTCAAGGGCCCCTCTCACTTTCTGTTCTAAGAAGTTCAGTGTGGCTGCATTTATGTTGAGGTCTTTGATCCATTTGGACTTAAGTTTGGTGCATGGTGATAGATATGGATCTATCTGCAATCTTCTACATGTCCGCATACAGTTATGCCTGCACCATTTGTTGAAGACACTTTCTTTTTTCCATTGTATATTTTTAGCTTCTTTGTCAAAGATCATGGATCCATAGGTGTGTGGGTTAGTATCAGGATCTTCAATTTGATTCCATTGGTCTACCAGCCTGTTTTTGTGACAGTACCAAACTGTTTTCATTACTATAGCTTGATAGTACAGCTTTAAGTCAGGGATGGTGATGCCTCCTGAAGTTCCTTCATTGTACAGCATTGTTTTTACTATCCTGGGTCTTTCGTTTTTCTGAATAAAGTTGAGTATTGTTCTTTCACAGTCTGTGAAGAATTGTGCTGGGATTTTGATGGGAATTGCATTGAATCTGTAGATTGCTTTTGGTAAGATTGCATTTTTAGGATCTCTGTGAGTTCGAGGCCGGGCTGGACCGACAGCCTCCAAAACAATAAAACAATACAGAGAAACCCTGTCTCATAAAACCAAAAAAAAAAAAAAAACAAGATTGCATTTTTACTATCTTACCTATCCAAGAGCATGGGAGATCTTTCCATTTTCTAGTATCTTCTTTAATTTTTTTCTTTAATGACTCAAAGTTCTTATCATTCAGGTCTTTCACCTGTTTGGTTAGAGTTACCCCAAGATATTTTATGTTGTTAGTGGCTATTGTAAAGGTTGATGTTTCTCTAATTTCTTTCTCAGCCCCTTTATTGTCTATATATAGTAGGACTACTGCTTTTTTTTTAAGTTAATTTTGTATCCTGCCACTGATGCAGGTGTTTATCAGCTGTAGGAATTCCCTGGTAGAATTCTTCAGGTCACTTACACATCTGCAAATGGTAACAGTTTGACTCCTTCCTTTCCAATTTATATCCCCTTGATCTCCTTTTGTTGTCTTATTGCTCTGGCAAGAACTTCAAGTACAATATTGAAGAGATATGGAGAGAGTGGACAACCTTGTCTTGTTCCTGATTTTAGAGGAATCACATTGAGTTTCTCTCCATTTAGTTTGATGTTGACTGTTGGTCTGCTATATATTGCCTTTATTATGTTTGGGTACGTTCCTGTTATCCCTGATCTCTCTAAGCCCTTTGTCATGAAGGGGTGTTGGATTTTTGTCAAAAGCTCTTTCATCATCTAGTGAGATGATCATATGGTTTTTCTTTTTCAGATTGTTTATGTGGTGGAATATTTCTTCGAAGATCATTGCTATGTAATTTATGGCACAGTCTTTTCTTTGGCTGCACTAGAAGCCATGGGGAAATGGATATTAAATGAACACACCGCTAGCCATCCCCGAATCCCACCTTATATATTCTAATATACATAACACAGAGTAAACACCACCATTCTGCAAGGGAGGAGAGGGGACACAGCAAGAAAGGATTAAGTTAAACCTAGGCTGGGACCCAGCTGGGCAAACAACAAACCCTGCAGCTCTGTGCCCTGCATTTAAGATTCCTGGTGGCGTCATTTGGACCCCAAGAGCTTTTGTACCCCCTCCACCTCCAGTTATCATTCCTGCAGCTCCCAAACAATGGCTTTTCTGGTTCTAAGCAGTCTGGAACCCTGGGGCAAGCCTGCATAACTCTGTAACTCTTGCATTTTGGCATGCCTGGTGTCACAGGCACGTGGAGGTTCCAGCTGAGTCCTTGTTCCTATCTGAAACCACGTGAGCTGGGCATTGCTGGGTATTGCTGGGCATTGCTGGGCATTGCTGCCAGCTCAGTTGTGGTCTGGCCTCTTCCACTGCGGCCTTAGTGGGCTCTGTGTACCTTGGTAGCTAAAGATGAGAACACCCTTCCCTTCCCAGACAGTTGCTTTTGAGCAGGAAGCCTCCTCCACAGCATTTCCAGCTCAGGGTCTCCTCTCTCATTGAGTTTTTATAAGTTGAAATATCAGATGAGAAGTCTTGCCCTCAGGGGTCTCCTATGTTCCCCAGTTCTGAGCCCCGGCTTCTTTCGGGGGTTGTTCATTTCATCCACAGTTCAGCTTTCTCTGTGCCACCCGGTGAGCAGCCTTAAACCCACACTCCTTTGCTTGCCAAACAGCACGATTTTCCGATCCACCATGCTTCCCCGCTGCAAACCTGGGCGAGGGCAGTGAGCAGTAACCGTGCCGCAGCCTGAATGGCTGTTCTGTCCTGAAATTCTCCCCACCAGACACATCCATCCGGCCCTTCTGAGCTCAGCCTTGCTTATGTTGTCAGAGCACAGTCAAATGCTTTGCCAGGCCAGGTGGGATCTAAGCTCAAGGTGGGGAGCTTGGCCTGGCAGGGTTTTGGGATTATGTGGGTGGGTGTTACCTTCCCATGGGCAGTTTCTTCTCCTGTGACCTCAGGATTTTCTTGGGCTGCACTCCTGGTGGGCACAGCTTTGGCTCCAAACACTGCAACCATCAGCTGGCCACCCTCAGGGAAGATCTGCTTCTTCCAGGGGCCCATACCTCCTGATAACATTTCACCAGACAGGGGCTCCCCCAGCCTCTACCACACACGCCCCAGTAGGGCCACAGAGCAGTGCTCAGAGCAGCCCCAGTCAGCTAGCAAAGACATCTGAGAAGCTGCCAATGGCAGTGGAGGAGCACAGTGTCCATTCTCAAGCCACACGTGCCTTCTTGGTACCCAAACACGGCCAGTGCAAGCAAGGCGTGAACACCATGGACTTCATTGCAACTTAAGATGGAGACACTTGATTGGGTGGCTGGAAATTTTAGAGCTTGCTCACAGCGTCGAAGAGTGTGTGAAGGGCGTGAAGGGTGAGAGTTTGGTGTGAAGGGTGACCCAGAGAACCAGCTCCATACCACCCTCTCCAAGACTATTTCTGAAGTCTGAGTACAGCTTGGCTCTATTTCTATCAAAGCGTAGCATCTGAAACTGGGCGTGGCAGGGCCTACCTGGACCCTCAGGGAGGCAGAGGCAGGAAGAGCAGGAAGGTCAGCATCAGCCTCTGCTAAGAGGGTTAGTGAGTCCAAATCAGCCTGGGTTCAGTGACACCTCGTCTCTTGAAACAAAGCATAACAACAATGACAACAGCAAAATTATCTGAAAACTGAGATGTGTTAACTAAAAATACCTGGGTTTTTGCTGTTGCTGTTTGCTTTGTTGTTGTTTTATCTTTGCATGCTGCTGGGAAGAAACAGGAAGTGTTACACTGATGCTTATTCTGCCACCTTACCAAGTGGTGTTTTAGAGGCTTTGCTAGTTTTTGTTTCTGCCCCCATAGCAGCGAGCTGGGATTTGGGACAAGAGATTCCTGCTCCAAGGCCTGGAAACCTGGAGGAGGGGTTTGCTGGGACAAGTCCCTTCAATGTGCAATGTTAGACTTTCAGTCTTCCTCCATGGAGGGCTCTTGGCTCTGCTCTCCTCAGTGGTGCTCGCCAACACCACGTCCTGTGTTCCACGCTTTACCCCCAGAAACAGTCAGAGAGAAGTGTTGTCCAGGGAGGGCCACAAGCAGGAGTGAAGACATTGAGCTGTGATTTATGCCATAGGCTCCCAGGGAGGAAGCCCCAGGAACAGGTGCTCACCAGGGTGCACATGGCCTAAGGGATAATCTTTTGAAAAGGAAATCTAGTAAGGACTGGAGTGGTAGCCCAGTCTGTGATGTGCTCCTTGTGGCTCTTGGTCTCCTTCCCTGTGGCTGTGATAAAATCTTCTGACAAATGCAACTTAAGGGAGAAAGGGTTTATTCTGATACCTGGTGCTGGGGGGGAAGAGGCAGGAGTTTGTGTGGAGTCAGCATTAGCCAGGCTTAGATCAATCAGTGAGCCCAGATACCACTGAGAAACTCGTTCTCAAAAAAAATGTAGATGTTACCCAAAACTGAACTCTGGACTTGACAGGCACACATACCCATAACCCCTCACCCCAAAATAGTCGTAGCAAAGGCAGCGAGAAGTCCATTCATGGCGGGTCCCTCCACATCAGTTTCAGTATCTTGCTTCATCCTCGCGCAGGAACGTCTCGAACCATGGCCCTGTGAGTGGTAACACCGGGATTGGAACCCAAGCACTGGGACACCAGAGCTCCTCCTTCAACAGCTCATACTGCTGTCTCTTTAGCAAAGCAGGGGCATGACCCTTGCCACAAAAGTATTTCCAGAGTTGAGTTCAAATAAGCCACCATGGAAATCCTGAGCCGCCAAAGCAAGGAGATTTCAGATGACAGCAGCACTCTGTAGCTGGAGTGCTCCTGACACCTGAGAGACACTCGAGATGAACTTGCTTAATGAACGAGGCTGGCCCCAGGGAGCTGAGCAAGGAGCTTGCCCTCCATCTCAGGGCCAAGTCTGGCGCCCAGGCGTCGTTCATCACTTCCCTTACCCGGCGTGCGCTGGAATAAAAAAGCGGTTGGGGTGGGGAGGGCAGGGCTCACAGATGCGCCCTGGGGACTAGTTGGCAAGGACTGCTCATCTACAGATTGGGGGAAGGTGAGGAGGTAGAGTTCCCAGAAGCAAATAACTTGTCCAAGGTCACAAACCCAGCTCCCCTGAGTCCTGATGAGAAGCTGTCCATCTTGGAAAAAAAATAGTCTGTATGAATAATTACCCGAACCCCTGGCTCCAGGGTGATTATACACCTGATCACCTTGTCGGGACGGAGCCCATCCTTCATCCCGCCTCCACCTCCGTACATCTCCCTGTGACAACAGTGGTACCCAGGCCAGGGAGGCCTGCGACAATTTGTAATACACGGAAAGGAAGCCTTCAGACAGACAGCTCTGTTCCTCAGGTGTGAGCAGGCTGCAGATGTGGTTCATCTGGGACACAGCTCCCCTTCATTCCCAAACTTGAGGGTGCACGCATCGACTTCTGTTCTTGTTCTCGGCTTGGAGGGTGTGTGGGCACCTCCATGGCTTTCCAGCTGCCTAGGTGTAAATGGAGAGGCTGGGAATCCCAGAAGAGTTTCTGCTGCCCAACAGCTCACCCCATAGTGCCTAACATGTTGCTCTGGACATGAGAAACTTCATGAATGGCTAGCTAATAGCTCATCCTGTTCTGAATTCCACAGCTCACTAAGGGAGAAGAGACAGAGGTGTGTCGTTAATAGGTCATCAGTGACCTCAACTCATTCACTGACTCAATGAGCTAAGATGGCATATACCCGTCTCATAATGGCATGCCTAGGATGGAAACTTCAAAGGTAGAATCCTCTAGGCCAGCCAAGCAAACAAATCTAGTCTTGTCTGGGAAGATGACTCATGGGTAAGGTGCTAAATATACAATCATGAGGACCCTCGACACCCTGGCAAAAAGCTGGGCATGGTGGCAGTGTGCGTCCCCAGTCCCAGCCGTGGGGAGGTGACGGCAGGAGGACCAGTAGGGCTTGCTGAGTAAGCAGCCTAGCAAAACATATGCGCCATGGGCTCCATGAGAGACCCTGTCTCAAAGAATGAGGTAGATAGCAACAGATGAGGACACCTGGGTTCAACCCTTGGTCTCCACACACATGTGTGTTCATACATATACACCCCCACGCATGAACACCCCCTCCCAAGCAATCACACCTATTTGTCTGTGTCTTGAGGTAGTCTTCCAACTGTCTCCTGCCTACAGAGAAGCTATCTTCACATTCAGATGTGGCCAAGTAGGACCAAGAACCTAAGTCTTACCTTTCCTGTTGGATACCAGGCAGCCCCTACCCCAAAGCATGACACTTTCCATAATTCACCCAAATAGGAACCTTACTGCATGCTGTCCCCATGGGATCTGTGCTTTCCTGTCCCGCTATCCTAGAAGCCCCCCCCCAGCAGAGCCCCCTAGGTGATATACGACCACACTTTATTTACCGGCAGACACACAGAGCCCCTTGTTCCTTAGCCTGGTAACAACTGAGGTCGTTCATCACCGGCTTTGCTCCTTTTTGAAATTCACCGAGCAGCAGGCATCTCTTTACACTCGTGCACGTAATGCATTTTAAAGAGTGTTTTCTGCACAGATCCATTTGCGCGACCTCGGCTTGGAGCACAAGATGGAATGGTGTTTTAGCAAGCACTTCCCTCAGCCCATTTGGAATGCATACCCTGACATGTAAATGCGGTTGTGCCCCATCACTTGGGAAAGGGGACTGTTATTCAACAAGGGCACTGGGTGACAACTCAGAGCAAGAACTCAGGTATGGGTCTGGGGAGAGCCCCGACACTTACAAGGCAGGGTTTCTGTCCTCCAGACAGGGTGCTAAGATGCCCAGGTAAATAACTAGAGAATAAGTTGAGGAGAAGTTCTTTGAGTGCTTTGCGTTGGAAGATGGCGGCCAGTTCTTGCGTTACTGCTTCAGTCTGGGCGCTAGGTGAAAGATCTGCAGCATGCCTTGGAGGGAAAGCTGGGCTGGGGATAGTCTTGAACGAGGGGAGTGATGGAAGTCTGTTCCTGCTTGGTAAAGACATGGCAGTAAGTACATTTAGATGTGGAGGATGTAGCTGCCAGGTGTGGGCAATGACCGGACAGGGGAATAGACTTGGATGTCCTAAAGGCCCTCAGGCACGCCCTCCCGGAAATCAGTCAGGATTTCCCACTCTCCTTGGTCTTTCTCCCCTGTTTCTTTCACAGCCAATGGGGCATCCATCAAGTAGAGCTTTGTAAGCAACTCTGTCCCTCATCCTCAGCATGTCCCTGACCCACTAGGGATGCAAGTCTCTGCAATCATGCACCTCCCACTTGTCCTCGACTTACCACCCAAGTAGACGCCACGCCGATTTCCTTGTACCTCTACAAAGTCCCACTGCTCTGTCCACCACTTTTGTCCTCTCTGTCCTTTGTAAACAATTAGATATGCTTTTCTCGCGCGTGCGTTCATGTCATACGCTTGTGCCCACGTGTGAAGTGCACATTTGCATGTTTATTCGTGTGCACTCAGGGGATCAGAGGACAGTCTTAGGTGTTGGGTTCTAGGTAGCTTCCATCTTCTATTTTAGGCAGGATTTTTCATGGGCCTGAAACCTCACCAAGCCGACTAAGATAGCTGACAACTGAGTTCCAGGGATGGGCCTGTCTTCTCCTCCAGTCTCTCATTGATGAGATTACAGATGAGATCACAGATGGGTGTCATCACACCTGGATTTTTTTTGCATGTATGTGCTGTGTGTGGGTACATGTGTGTGAGATCACAGATGGGTGTCATCACACCTGGATTTTTTTTGCATGTATGTGCTGTGTGTGGGTACATGTGTGTGAGATTACAGATGGGTGTCATCACACCTGGATTTTTTTACATGTATGTGCTGTGTGTGAATGTGTGTGTGGGTACATGTGTGTGCATGCATGTGGGGGCCAGAGGTTGGTGTTCTTCATTTAAGACAGAGTCCCTTGCCTGTGCTGACATCTCCCCGATTCTGGTCAGCCCAGCTGGTCACCCTTCCCCCTCAGCTTCCCTCTTTACCTCCTAGGTGCTAGAGCTGTGAGTAGCCACCACGCCTGCCCCAGCATTTGCATGAGTCCTGGCGAC